CGTGAAATAGAACAAAGCGTCGACGTTTATTTAAGATATTTAAGCGTCACGTTTAACAATTTTTTAATTAAATAAATATTAAATTTTTTTAAGCACCCTTTAAGATGGGAGCGTTGTGGATGCTCTAATAGACCAAAGAATAATCAATACGACCCAATAACTGATATAGTGGGCCACATGGACCAGACCACGTGAGCCCAAAAAAGAAAACCAAAAGAAATGTTTTATAGCCGACGAGGATTTGGTTACGGAGAGTTTGAACGGTCGTCAGAAATTTCGGAGCTTGTAGTCTCTGAGTGCCTTTCTTCACTTTAATGGCGGCAATATCCTCTGTTCAATGCTTATTCTCTTGCAATTCTCATCATCATCGGCGCGAGCTGGTGCCATTTCCGATCTATCTGTTATTATTTGTTCAGGAATAACGAGAACTATCTTATTATGATTCGAGAAATTTACTTTAATCCTACGTTTTTTTCTTCAAGCAGAGTGGGTCGCTTTGGAGATTGGGTTCTAGGGTTCTAAAGTCTCCGAGTCTGTGGAATTTTCATCTGTTTTCCGGAGTGGATTTCAAGCGAAGGTGATTTTGTTTTTAGTTTCCGATTGTTTTAAATGAGAAAACAAATTCTCAAGTAAAGAAGATTTAGCCCTTGAAGCTATAAATTCTGTGTAATGCACTTAGATAATGATTGTATCTTTTGGGTATAATTAAACAGGAGAACTTTGATCTGTGCAGTCAAGGGAGATGCAGAAGGAGCGTTTAAGAAGACTGTGGAAATCGATCGGATGATTGATGCTCTTAAAGATGCAAACCCAAGAGAAGTAACTTTGCAATTTCTTTTGCTCTAGTCATTAAGATACAAAGGGGAAATGCTATATTTGATCGAGTAATTCAGTCTTGTTGCTGCCATTTCCTTTGGAACAGCTTGAGAAGCTTGTTGTTGAAAATATCCTTGCTTTTGATGAGGGTTTCTGGATAAGACTCGCGGCTAGGTCGGATACTTGCAAATCAGACGATGATAAGGCACGCGTTTCTATTGAGCAGATCTTCGAGCTCTTTTTCTCCGCTAATGCTTATGCTTTTGAGAGGGGGGGGGTTTGTTTCTTGCTTGCAGAAGGACTATGAGGAGTTAGCTGCAACCGTGATGACTATAGTTGACTGCGTTGTGAATAAGACTCGGGT